TAATTTGGGTACATGTACAGGGTGGTTGCAAGGGCAGTCTCTTAGAAGGGCACCGAAGCTGAGCTTTAGCGTGTTCCAGAAAGTGGGGGCTTCGCTCAACTGTTTGGCTGGCAAACCTCTGAGCAGCAGCCTTTTAATAAACAGTAAGATATAATATAAAACTACAGGCCAAATGACTCATTTGCAAAAAGAAATATAGTTTGAAGCAGCCCTAATCTTTGTCATTTTGTTTAAAAGCACACAGAGCAAACAAAAGTGTCATCTGGAGATTTCATGATTAGCATATCCACTGTAAAGCACTGAAGCTCAGTTCTATTCCTTCTGGCTCTGGGACTTTTTCGTGTACATGCGGCAAGTTTTTTCTGTCTATCCATCTAAATTTATAGGGCATGGCGAGCATGGCAGTAAACACCTATAACCTTGACACTCAGAAGGCAGAGACAGGAAGATCAAGAACCCGGATATATCTCGTGGGACTGCACAGTGAGATTCTGTTCCATAAATAAAAATAAGGTGCTGGGAAGATAGCTCAGCGGTTAAGAGCATGCGTTGCTCCATCAGGGGACCAGAGTTCAGTGCCCAGCACCTGCACGGTGGTGGTTCCCAACCAGTTCCAGGAGACCTGATTCTCTCCTCTGACCTCTGTGGGCACTGCATGCATGTGGTGCACATACGTACACACAGGCAAAACATTTACACACATAAATCTTTAAAAACGTTTAAATAAGAAATTCACATGGAAAAGAGTCAAAAATACTAAAACATATATTATATGGACATTGTTTTTATCTATTCTGTCACCCAGAATGCCCTAGCGGCCACTGTCTCTCTCCCAAGGGGACTGTTATGTTGCTTCATGTATCTCTCCAATTTATATGCGTGGATATACATAAATGTCTTCATGTATGGGCTGAAAGTATATAGCTCTTTAGTTGGGGAAGAGGGAACTTGTCTTACTTTAAAAGGGGGCCAAGTTCAAATTTCTCAATTTCTTCAGGCTTTGGGATAGCCCCTCCCTCAAGGCATGAGTGGAGAAAAATACATGGAACATTTATTTAAAAGCTGAGGATGACACTTAACTCCTGATATTCTACTTCTCGTGTGCTGAGATTATAGGTGCATACCACCATGCACAGTTCATGCAATATCAGCGATTGAACTTAAGATTCTCTCTCAAATAATGCTGCAGCCTGGTGTGGTGGTGCAAGCCTGTAATCCTAGTACGTGGGAGGCAGAGGCATGACCATCAGAAATTCATGGCCATTCTTGTCTAAACAGGGAATAAAGGGCTAACCTGGGCTATGTAATACCTGGTCTCCAAAATACAAAACAAAATAAAACTAGGCCTGGAGAGATAGCTCAGTCAGTAGCACTTGCCACATCTAGTAGGATTCCTATCGCACACCTAAAAATCCAGACACACTGAATGAGTCTGTAATTCCAATGCTGGGGAGGTGGGACCAGAAGAATCCCTTGGGCTTGCTGGCTAAGGAGTGTAGCCAATCAGTGAGCTTCAGGGTCAGTGAAGAGCCTATCTCAAAAAAGCTAGGCAGAGAAGTGATTGAGGCAGATACCCTATATCCATCTCTGGTCTCCACATGCTTGTGTACCCCCACACTCGGACAGGTATGTGTACACACACACACACACACACACACAAACACACATGCACACACAAAACCAAGTAATAAGGCTATGCACATTCCTGTATAAGTTCTTTTGTGGATGTATGTTTCTGTTCCTCAGAAATATACCTAAAAGCCAGCTGTAGTGGTGCACACCTTTGATCCAAGCACTCAGGAAGCAGAGGCAGATGAATATGTGAGTTCAAGGCCAGCCTGGTCTATAGACGTGGTTTTAGGACAGCCTGACCTACTCAGACCATACCTGTCTTGAAAAACCAATAAATAAATAAAAATAAATATTTATACCTAAGAATGGAATGGCTATGTTATATTGTATCTTTTTATTTTTAAGACAGGATCTTATTGTATAGCCCTAGCTGACCTGGAACTCACAATGTAGACCAAGTTGGCCTTAAACTCGCAGACACCCTTCTGTCTCTGTCTCCCTAGTGCTTGGATTAAAGATGTGTGCCTACCATACCCAGTTCTAATCTTTTTGAGGATCTGCCAGACTATTTTCCAAAGCAATCAACCATTTAATGTTTCCAGTATGAAGATACGAAGGTCTGGTCTCTACACTTCTCTGTAGCCGTTACCATCTCTTTCTGACTATAGTCATTCAAGAGGGTGCAAAATGGCTGTCCTGAAGTTTATGAGAACGGGAACTCCATCTGCCTTGTTCATCCTATATCCTAGATTCCAGAAGAGTGCCTGGAACTTCTCAGATATTAAATATTTTATTAGGGGATTGGGTATAGATCACTGATAGAGTACAAATCCAGCACATACAAAGCCCTAACTTCAATCTCCAGCGCCTGAGTTGGGGTGGGGGGGGTAACTACATAGGTGTGTGTGTGTGTGTGTGTGTGTGTGTGTGTGGTAAGTTAATAAGATCAAAAATCACTTTGTTAAGAAGGTTATAATGTATTTAACTTCAAAAATAGAAGGATCAAGAATCTAGCTTTTTTCCTATACCACTTAAGATTGATGAATGTTCCCTTTTTGTGTGTGGGTAGGTGGTTCGAGACATGGTTTTCCAGTAGCTATGGAGCCAGTCCCGGGACTCACTCTGTAGACCAAAACGGCCTTGAACTCACAAAGATCTTCACGTCTCTGTCTCCTGAGTACTGGGATTAAAGGCATGTGCCACCACTGACCAGCTGAATGTTCCCCTTTTTATCATGTGTTTGCATTATTTTTCTTTATGAGTCTGCGTTTACATGAGTGAGTGCTATTTACATGTGGGTGCCAGTGGAAACCAAAAGAGGTCATCAGATTCCTCAGAATTAGAGTTACAGATCAGACTCAGGTCCTCTGCAAGAGCAGTACACTTTCTATTGAGCCACCTCTCCTGCCTCTGTAATTTCCTTTTCTTTCTTTCTTTCTTTTTTATTTCTTTATTTATTATGTATACAATACTCTGTTTGTGTGTATGCCTGCAGGCCAGAGAGGGCAGCAGACCCCATTACAGATGGTTGTGAGCCACCATGTGGTTGCTGGGAATTGAACTCAGGACCTTTGGAAGAGGAGGCAATGCTCTTAACCTCTGAGCCATCTCTCCAGCCCTCCTTTTCTTTTTTTAAAAAATATTTATTTATTTATTATGCATACAATATTCTGTCTGTGTGTATGTCTGCAGGCCAGAAGAGGGCACCAGACCTCATTACAGATGGTTGTGAGCCACCATGTGGTTGCCGGGAATTGAACTCAGGACCTTTGGAAGAGCAGGCAATGCTCTTAACCACTGAGCCATCTCTCCAGCCCTGTAATTTTCTTTTCTATTTCTTCAGGTCACCCCTTTTCTCTTTTAGAAGTGCACACATTCCTGATTTAGACACAGATGATAGATATCCTGGATATTATCTCAATGTGTTTGTTCTATATTTACATTTTATGAAGTTTTAGATTTACCTGCTCTTTGTATATGCCTCGCCTGCATGCAGGGAGGTGGCACATCCTGAGCATGCTTGTTGGGTACTCTGGATCTGGGGTTACGAATGGTTGTGAATCACCACATAGGTGCTAAGAATGAACCCAGGGCTTCTGCAAGAGTAACACGTGCTCTTAACCCCTAAGCCATCTCTCCAGCCTGGACACACACACCCACATTGGTTTTTCAAAACAGGGTTTCCCTGTGTAGCCCTGGCTGTCCTGGAACTTGCTATGTAGACCAGACTGGCCTCAAATTTAGAGATCCCCCTGCCTATGCCTCTTGAGTGCTGGGATTAAAGGTGTGTGCCACAGACCAGGTATTTCTTGCATTAGTTTTTCTTACAAAACTTTCAAATTCTTTGTTCAGGGCTTTTTGCTCATCCCCAGATTTGCTAAGCTTGCAAATAGACATCTTCTTGTGGCCTTCCAGGCTAGCCACACTGGAAGAGACATGTCTATTAAACCTTTTTGTCTCTCTCCAACTCCACACTCCACACATTTCTGGAAGCACCTGGCACACTTGACAAGGAGACAGAGAAGCTCTGGACTGGGTGATGCTCACATCCAGCGCTGAGGACTTGAAAAATTATTTGTCCAATAAATAAGGTAACGTGGATATGTGAGAAAGACTGGGTCTGAACTGGGAAGGTGATTGTTGCAAAATGCAGTTTGGTCAAAAAACATTTATTGAGTGTTCACTGTGTCCTTGCCTTGTGGCTCTATTTCAAAATACATGGTAAACAAAAACAGGAGTCGGCCTTGGACAAGGAGTTTCAAAAACCACTTCTTAGCTGCATCGGTCTATTTCCATGCTTTTTATCCACCTATTGATTTTTGAGGATTACATTCTAGCCTAAGGAATTGACTGGCTTCCTTAGACCCAAAAAGTTGGTTCTGATTTGTCAGCAAAACCCTGATTTCTATATGCCCCCAGGGCACTGCTATATCTCCTAACAGCTAACCCTAAATGTTAAGACCCCCGATGTTTGGGTCCAAGCTAACTGCCCCCAAAATGCTAAAACTTCCTAATGTTGGTTGGGGTCCTTGGATGGGAACCTCCAAACGGATGCACAGCACATCCACTAGAGGGTGCTGTGAGGGCAGGTTTGTGGCGGGAGGGGGCTCGCCCAACGACCCTCAAATCCAGGTATTAGTTGGTTTTCTTTCTTTCTAGTTTTCTTCCCACCCACTAAAACCGTCGCCGCCCCTCCCCCACGCAAGGATTCTTCTCGAACGTAGTGACTCGACTTTCGCGGCGACTCTAGCCGTGCTTGGTTCCGGAAGAAGTCTGGGCCTCTGTCGCAGACGCCCCGTGGCTGGAGCTTGCCGGTTCCCGGACGCCAGGGGCGCAGGCGGCGGGTGGGTGGGGACCTCCAGGACCGCTGCCGTTCGCCGCGCCGCAGGGGCCGCGAAAGGGTTAACCCGGCGGGGGGGGGGGGGGGGGCCGGGCCGCGCGTGCGCTCTGCCGCCCTCCATTGTCTCCACGGCGGCGAGGAGCGCCGGCGAGCGCAGCCCGGGACCGAGCGGGGCGGTGCGGCTGGCTGGCGGGGCCGGCGGCGGCTGGAGCCGGAGCGCGACGCCACGCGACTGCGGCTTCCAGAGCTCCGCCTGGCTGCCCCACCGCCGCGAGCCCTCCCGAGGCCTGAAGGAGTCCGGACCGTCGGCCCCGGTCGTCGAGTCCTGAGACCGGGGACGTGCGCGGCTCCCTGAGCCTCCGCCGCTTCCTGCTGCGGGCGGGCGGGCGGCCTCCTCCGGCGCCTCCCTCCCTTCGCTGCAGCTCCTCAGGCTCTCGAGCCCGGGGGCGGCCTGTAGCGCGCGGCGCCCGCTCCGGACCGCGCGTCTTCGGACCTTAAGGAGAACATGCATTCGGCTTGGACTGTTTGAAATTCTTAGTTTGGGGTCCCCGCTCGCTTGCTTTTTCCGCCCCGCGGATCTTCTGAGGTTTTTTTCCCTCTCTCTTTTTCATTTTTCTCCCTCGGGGCTCTTTTGTAACCCCCCCCCCCTTTATGTTCGCCCAGTCTTCCACCCGCTTCTGAGTAGTGGGGGAGGGTTTCGGCCTCGAGGTTCCCGCCCCACCGGGGCCCGGGCGAACATGGGGGGCAAGCAGAGCACGGCGGCTCGCTCTCGGGGCCCCTTCCCGGGGGTCTCTACCGATGACAGCGCAGTGCCGCCGCCGGGAGGAGCGCCCCACTTTGGGCACTACCGGACGGGCGGCGGTGCTATGGGGCTGCGCAGCCGCTCGGTCAGCTCGGTGGCGGGCATGGGCATGGACCCCAGCACGGCCGGAGGGGTGCCCTTTGGCCTCTACACCCCAGCTTCCCGCGGGACCGGCGACTCAGAGAGGGCGCCGGGCGGCGGAGGGTCCACGTCGGACTCCACCTATGCTCACGGCAATGGTTACCAGGAGACAGGCGGCGGTCACCATAGAGACGGGATGCTGTACCTGGGCTCCCGAGCCTCGCTGGCGGATGCTCTACCTCTGCACATCGCACCCAGGTGGTTCAGCTCGCACAGTGGTGAGTCCGCGGGTGACGGAGGCCTGTAAGGGTGGAGTGCCAAGACAGGGCGCGCCGGGGCTCCCCAAACCTCTCAGTGTGCTAAGCTATGGGTATAAAGCTAACTCCTGCCTTTCCCTTGGTTCCTTCTCTACCAGAGGAGAAATAGGATCAAGTGGGATAACTACTGCCTAGGGAAGACGCTGTCTACCAGGCTGCGGAGTCGGGCGTTGTAGGACTGCAGGCATGTGTTCACTTGTGGATGGCAGAGTGAAACCTACCCATTAAAGTCCCATTTATTAGCATCATGATCCTCAGAGAAGAGGTCTTCTTGGCTGGTTTGGACACTTCATTTCTGCCACTGCAGCATGGTGCCTACCTGTCTGGTTAGGGAGTAGTGTCTTCTAAACAAAGAGAAAAAGAAATAAAACTAGGGGACAAGTGGTTCCTTAGCCTTGCTAGTTTTTCCACCCAGCTGGGTAACTGTACAAATTGTTTAAAATGGAGCAGGAGACTGGCTTAGGCAGGTGTGGTCTGCAATATGGAAAGCCTCCCTCCCTGGGTTCTGGTCTCCGATGCTGCATTCAGAAGACTTGGCTCAGTGACTCTTACAGCCCTCCATCTTTTTTCTCCTGCTCCTTACTAAGTGCTTGCTTTCCCCGTGAATCTGCATTTTCTTGGGTTTTTTGTTTGTTTGTTTTGTTTTAAACAAAGCACCGACAAGGTGAGGCATTACTGCTCAGCAGTTGGTATGTGACAGGGAAGAGGAAGGTTGAGAGACTCTGGATGGATTCATTCTGTGTGTGCGTTTCTGGTGACAGGCCAGGAAAAGGCTGGAGGGGGATTTCCCAGGCTCTGGCTGGTAGGGCAGAAAAGGCCTGGCAGGCACTTCTGGAGGAAAACAGGTCTGTCTGCATGGCTGTCCTGAGAAGGCATGGCAGGCTTCTGGAAAATTGGTCTAAAGGGGTGTGAGACCGCTGTGTGCTTATTAGCAGTTGAAGTGAAGAAGTTACATATTCAGACTCCTTTGGGTGAAATTTTAGATACTGTGTGGGACAAAGCTTTCTCAGATCATGGATGATTTACCTTGTGGGTTTACTCTTGTAGCTATTTCAAAACAGAATAGGGTTTTGGGGTCTCTCTTATTTTTCTCTTTCTTTTGGTCAATTCTATAATCTTAAATTTTTGAAGAAAACTTTGGTGGGGTATAGTGGCTGGTTGGAACCTCTTAGACTGCCATTAAACTATTGGAGTCAGATACAAGACACGCCTGCCTTCGGCAACCTCTAGGCATTCAGCCTGCGATAGGCATCTTGGGGTTAATAATCTTCCTTAAGTAGTTGAGTCCAGAAAGAGTCGACTGTATTTGCAAGACTGTCATGATTACATTTGTAAATAAGATGTCACTGGTCTGCCTTTAAAACTGAAAACAGCGTAAATCAGCTCTCCAAAGTCACAGAATTTTATAAGGGTTTGTATGAAGGAGTGAGAAGAGGAATTACCTTTTTTTTGGGTGAGACTTCTTAAGTCTGTCTCTTGCTAGAAACTTCTTTATCCTTGTTCCACTGCCAGGTTCCCTGATAAAGTTATGAGCTTACCACTGAATTCCAGATTTTCACACTCTTCAGCTGTGAAACCTTGGAGTTTTTCCCCCCATCCCCATTCAGGCCTATGATCAGGGAGTGCCACTGAACAAGGAAAGTTAAAGATGTTAACCTTTTCAGTGTCTCTAATGTATGGGAGGGGGGCTCTTGTTAACATTATAGGTAGTACATTTATTTATTTTTATTATATAGGACCATTCTGTCATTTTGCAAGACTTTGAACCTATTGAATACCCAGGGCATCCTGTAGTTCACCTCAGACTGCCTCCACGAATTCCCAGATGCCTTTTACTGGGGTGGGTGTCCCAGCCTGACCGAGAACTGCTGTTTAAAGGGATTTGTTCTTTGGTACAGATAGAGTAATTAGCTTTTCCTGTGCTGTTCACTTGAGGTGAGTGCTCGTTTGCATCAGTGGTTCTGTCTCCTGGAACAGGCCATAGAATTTTCTGGGGCATCGTTTTCTCTCTCATTCATGCTGCAAGAAGAGAAGCCGTTTCCACTTCGGAGCTGTTGAGTTGGGTCTGAGCTGCTTTTGCTCTTGTGTGGTAAGATTCCAAAGGTGGGGCTTTCAGTGCTTGATTGACTGAATGCCTGGAAGTCAATGCAGTGTTATTACTTGGGTTTTCAAGGTGTTTGGGGACTCCTCACAGCGCAGGAAGTAGAATACTGAGGGGTTCCAGCCTTAGGTCTTCTTCTGAGTAGCTTTGACCTTGGACAAGACACAGCACCTTTCTCTAGGCTCGTCTTTGTAATTTTAAAAATAGATGTGGTAATCCTCAGTGGTTGCAGCTTGTAACGGTTGTTCTCCAAAAGGCTGTGAGAGGACATACTGCGATCGCGTTTGTCTTTCATGTTCCTGGGCCTTCCTCATGCTGTGACCCTTGCACATCTTGCGTTCTTTATGACAGAAATGTTTGTTCGTCCATTCTTCACATAGATAGCTCCTATGGACCCCTTAGGGCTCAACAGAAATTTCTCCTCAGAGGCCACTCTTAACATCTGGCCCTTCCTGTGACTGTTTTCAATCATTTGTGGTAATCTTAATTTTTTTTTTAGCATATTCTAAAAGCATTTATTTATCTGCTTACTTATTTTTCTTGGAGTTTGACTAAAATCTCAGCTCTGTGAGACCAGAACTATCTCTTAATCACTGCTGTAAATCTTACTCTGTGCCTGGCTCAAGTATTTGCAAATGAAGAAATGTGAATGGTTTATGTCCATCATCCCTTTCGTCTTTGTAACTCTACTCCCCGTTTGCAGGGGAGGTAAGGACCCCAGACGGCTAGCTGACAGGTAGCAGAGATGGGACTGGAGTGCTCGCCTGATAGTGCCAGAACCCTGGCTCTTTTCATTTAGTATTTTGTTGGTTTTATTATTTATTATTTGCTTGTTTTGAGACAGGGTCTTAATATGTGGACCCTGACTGGCCTCAAACTTGTATATAATACAGGTTGGCTTTTCCCTTCTCCTCCTGAGTTGTTTCAGTTGTAGTCATGCGGCTTATGTCCAGCTGTCCCCTAAGACGTCACTATGGCCTCTCTCATCGGTAACCTAAGGAAGTAGTATCCTGGAAACTTACTAGCCAGTCAGTGGGAAGGCTAGGCTCAGGGTAAAGTGCCTAACTTATAACCTTGAGCAGACGAGTCATATAAGTCCCTGGTTTTTTATATGTTTATCTGTAGATGTCTGTCCTGCAGTCATTGAGGGTCTTATGTGACAGTATACACAAAAACAAAGCCAAAGGAAATCCAAATGGAACATGGTGGTGTCTTTGAGACAGTGCTATTGCTCTGTGCCTTCTCTGTCTCCTTAGAACTTGGTGGGCAGAGAGGTCTACAAGTGGGAACATAGATAGGCCCCAGATGAAGGCTGGTGCTGCCTGGAGTCTGACCTACATCCACTTCCCCCATAAATGCCACTGAGGAAAACTACCTTTGAGAAGCAGTTGAATTACTGTTCAACTGCTGGTTTTGTTCTGAGGTGAGGCTGTAGCTTTGGTTTCCTGATAGCATTCTGGAGGTCATCCTTTTGTAGTAGTTCTGCTAACCTTGGAATAGGGCTTTCCAGATGTGGAGAGAAAACGTGAAGGATCCACCATATTAGGAGATATTCTGTTTTCTGAGTTCTGCTGTAAAATTGCTGGCTATTGAGGGCTTTGGTCTGGCTTCTTAGTCATATATATATATATATATATATATGTATGTATGTATATATGTATGTATGTATTTTCACCAAACCATTGGCTGAGGTTGAGATGGAGTGACTTTGCTAAGTATCTGAATATGCTAGCAGGGTATCTTCTGAGTTCTGAGTTCTATTTGCTGTCACACTAGCATTTTCAAAAGCTTTGTTTTTTTTTTTTTTTTTCTGTTCTTAAATAATGAGGGACAGTTGCCAACTCTTTTGGAGTGGACCAGAAAGCCTCTTTGTGTCTCACTGTAGGTATGCTGGAGGTAATGGGCCTTTGTGAGCTCTCTGAAGAAGGAAAAGCATTCAGTGGTCCCTAAAGATATTCCCTGCCCAGCTTTGCAAGAACGTTCTAGCCTTAGTGAAGACTTTGTTTTTAATGTAGGATTTTTAGCTTTATATTACCATGAGGGGCTTATTTTCTATGCTTCCTTCCGGCAAAGATAATTTCCTAAGAATCTTAGTTAACTATTCCTTGTGAGATCTGAAAGGCATTGCAAGCAAAAGTGGTCAAATTCTTAACATGGTTGCTTTATGGATGTGTGTATTTTTATATTAAACAGACTCATCGCCAACTATGTCACAGGAATATTGTGAGCCAGGGCATCCTTAACCAAAGTGCTAGCTCCATTCTTGGGAAGAAACATGCTGTGTATTTTACAAATGTGATGATAATCCATCCAAGCTCAATGGGCACTGAACTCAAGTTTTAAAATAGCCAGTTATAGCCAGCAAGGTGGCTTAGCAGATAAGGACACCTGCCACCAAGCTGATGATGTGAGTTCAGTCCCCAGGACCCACATGGTGGAAGGAGAGAATCAACTCTCTTAAGTTGTCCTCTGACCTCCACATGTCCATACACACATGCACACACATACATGCACACAAATAAAGTAAAACTTGTGATGGCATCCAAATTTGGTAGGAAAAACCTCATAGGGAATCAGTGTTGACTTAAATGGGATATTGGTTCTGCTCTTATTTAGCCTTAAATTAGGTTAACCATAACAGGTCTCTGAGATTGCAGTACTTGGATCTTGAAGTTAGTCCCAAACTTGAATCCTAACCTTAGTCTCTAGAATGATAGATTAATGTAGATTTTTATTCATCTTCCTGCACCCCAAGCTTTGCTGTGGCCCAATCCAAATCAAATGGCTGCTTCTTAGCAATCCCTTCCTGCCCTTTTGGTTTTTCAAAACAGGATTTCTCTGTATCCCTGACTGTCTTGGA